GATTCCGCCTTTTATCGTTAAATCATTGTTACTGTTAGTTAATTTAATGAATACCTCGTTGTTAATAATTATATTCATCCCACCCATTTCCTGAATGCTTGCATTGTAATAATTTATCTTCTACTTGTTGTTACGATTTGCGGCCAAGACGTAGTGTGTATAACTTGTTACTTCTATTAATAGAGTCATACCATCTCAATAGAAAATCATCCGAGAAATCGATAAAATCAGTTGTAATTTAATAAACTCAAGCCAAATATTGTTCGTTAAAGTAGAGTTTGATGTTTAATTTCATTATTATCTTTCGATGGTTTCGTTCTTCAGTTTGTTCCTACGTAATACTCTTTCTTAGAAAAATAATGAATTATAAACATGTTCGTTATAATCTAATTATTGTCAAAGCCATGACTGTGTTAAATTTCGTTACATATTATATGCAGTTATTTATTATTATTATATTTTATCTAATCATTTTTATTCAGAAACCTTTAAAACCCACGAGAAATAATTTCCTAAGAATACGGTTAGTCCCGCCGTTTCGACATAACATTTGAGTGCAACATTATTATTCAAATCGAATTATCGCCAGGCTAAAGAAGCCACTGGAATTAGGAAGCAAATATTCAGATCACGGAGTCCGTGACCATGTTCTCGGTGGTGATGTGTCCCTTTGTTTGATTAACTTTAAGAACAGTGTTCCGTGCTTACACTCTACTCCTGTTAACCACTGGGTGGCGGTTAATTTAATAGGGGGTGGTTACTGGTTAGTGCTGGACCAACCACTGAGTCAGGAGGTTTAGAATGTGTCTTTAACTAGGTATATGGGCTGTGGGATTTATTGCTTACTTATAAATCGTGCGATATCGTAGAAGTTTATTTGAGTCAGCTGTTTTGTTTTGATATTTGTGGCCCCTGAATGTGAGAACAGTTGGTCCATTGTTCATCAGTCTGTGTGTGTAATATCTTGCGGAATGTGACGCCCACAACATGGAACTTAAGTGTGAAATAATTAGATGTTCTCATTATCAGGGTTCAGCGTTGGTAACTGTAATTTGATCAAAAGAGATACCGTGTACTGGTATCGTCACGCCCTCTGATGATCTTTTGTTCTGGGATCTACAGATATAGATCGCTTTGTTCTTTTGAAGTTTTAACAATTTAATAGTGCAGTGTATACAGATTCGGCTAATTTAAATCACTATCAATATCTTTTGCATAACAAAGATGAGCGCTGGTCCATTTCTGTCAAACAGCGCAAAACAATTTAAATTCAAATTTCGATGTCAAAGACTTTTACTAAGTACTCGGAACTCATATGATTTATTCTACAGTTACGAACAGGCTTCATGTTAACTCAAATTTGGCCGCTACAAACTCAATATTGATCACGTGATCACACGCTAGAAAATAAAGCGCCAAAGCAGCCGGCTTTGAAGCGTTCGGTGGAGGCGTAAATCTCTGCCCACAAACGTCAAACATACGCTATTTTAATTTACATCGTCACTTTGATTATATCATGTATTTATAAGACCAGGCAACTTAATGCTATCTTTTACATTTACTTAGTACAGCATAGAGTCAACACGAATGGCTATTATAGTTAGATTTATTAAGTTGCTCATTTAGGTTATCACCGTACGATGCTGCATACTATTTGAATTAAACATTGTGCCATCCAATGACTGTATCTTTGTTATTATATGGCTCCCTCTTTGTTAATAAATTTGACTCCCTTTACGCAATATTCTCTAAGCTATGGTAGTCACATGATCACTCCTTGAGTTCCAGTAAACCCTTCTATCAGATAGTGTTCCCCCAGCAACATCATGGAACTTTTCTACTACTGTCTCTCAGCCCAGAAAGAGGAAGCCCCTCGTGCCTACACTCACGTAAGTACCGCGTGAAATGTCACGTGACGTCATCATAGCGTCACGTGATGTCATCACAACGTCACGTTCTTAGCACGGGACCTCTTTGAGAGAATTACTGACGGAAAGGTTTGAATCATGGTTTTTTTTTGCTGGAAGAATGTACACGTAAAGCACAGTTCTCACAAAGCACAGTTTGCAGTTTGAGAGCTATTTACAGTTTGAGTTGAATGATATTTTGCGCTAGTGTGTCGCTATCTGCAGTAACCCTTTACCACAGTCATACCTGCCGCAAGAAAACATTGATTACGACGAGAAGCCGGAAAAGACGCTAGAATCGGATAGTGAAGAGGAGGTGGAGGAGGAGGAGCCGGCCAGCCTGTACGAGGTAGATGGGGAGGAGAAAGCAGTGGATGAGGAAGAGGCACCACCAGAACCAGAACCAGCCGCTCCGGAGATTATTGAACCTGAGGTATTGGATATACTTCACACACTCCTGACTTCATCACAGTTTGTGATACAGTCAAGTTTGGGTGCTTTTGCTTTGAGCAATGGTCAAATCTTCTGCATTGAAACAGATAAGATCAGCTTTAATGTCAATTATTGTCAATGTAACGATGTGTGTAATGATCCGTGTACATCTTATTATATTCTTTTAAAATTTAGTGGCGTCGCTTCCTCAATGTTTGGTTCTCATGCATTACCACTCGCAAGTTTATTTCTCACCAATTGTGAAATGGCTGGGTCGGACCAAAGGGAACTGATTGTCAAGGATCGAAACTAGCCACCTTCATATAAATGTGCGACAATATGAATCGCGGTTGATAACACTCGCACAGAGATCGTGTAGATTTAAAACTATCATAATTTAGATGTACTGATGAGATGGTCTGTTAAACTGAGTATTTGGTGAGAAAGTGATACAACCTTACTCATAAAGTGCAGGGTAATATTCGTTATAAGAAGCAAGTAGTTGACAATTCATGGCCTACTCTGCCAATACCTACTACCCAAGAATCAAATTCTAAACTAGTAATAATTACATAAAGACGCCTGCAACCAGCGATGATATCTCGCATCAACTATCTTTAAGTTGTCATTATACTCCTTTCGGTGTAATTTTTCTCTTTGTATTATTCTCGATTGTTCGAGAAGGTTGTAAATTTTACCTCGCCACGCCCCTCACGTTCACTCTCAGGCATATGGGAAAAGTTCCCAGCTCTTTTGTTAACCTCATTTATGATTGTCATGTTTTTCGTTGGTTGTCTGGCTGATAAGTAAGCATAGGGTAAGCACATGTTATTTTGTGCTGTGAAACTTTTCAACTTTGTTAGAACAGATTCAGAGTTGATTGCTTGTAGTTTGAACAATGTTCAATAAACATTGAACATCCGCGTAATCGAGCTGTTCCGCAGAATCCATGCTTAAATTCGCTTTAATAAACAAACTTTGGACGAAATTTAACCCCTAATCGATTCTAGTAGATGGCATCCAAGCTAAATAATCCCCATAAGATGAACCTAAACACTGAACAATTCTTGACATTAGAATGCCTTCTCCCCACGCCATTTCCAACTTTTTACAATGGTGCTAAGTTGAGTTTTCCCCCTAAAAATACCCTCCCCTACAGCACGGAGTGAACTTATTAAGACGGAACAATTCCCGAAAATTCAAAACACCCTCCTTCAAATGGAAGAAGAAAAAGAAGAACCGTGAGCCGTACCTTTCTCCCCCCAGTCCCTCGGCCCCAGAGCTCTCCGTAACGGAGGACCTGGCTGACTTGACTGTAGATGATAACGAGGAGGTGGCAGACAAGGTACAGTAGAGGGGTTATCTAGTCTACAAGATATCTAGTCTACAAGATATCTAGTCTAGGAGATATCTAGTCTAGGAGATATCTAGGAGAGAATGCCTAGGAGATGTAGTTGTTGAGAAGGTGATGAGCACTGGTGACAATCGGTATGATTGTAATAGTCGTGAAGTGTACATTGAAGTATTAGTAAGGAGTAAGGAGTACAGTTCTACGAAATACTTTTTATTAAAGAGTACAAAAAATGAACAAAAAACCAATAACAAACAACCTCTTAACGTTCACAACTCGTTAGGAATATGACGTATAGACAGTATCACTATAGACCTGACTACCAGTGGGTCTATTGCCCAATTCCTAGTTTTAGTGAATGGGTCATGGTAGGTTGAGTGACTTTTTACATCCGAAATTTGACCATCTTCCTCGATCTTTGAAAAACGTTGCCACGAGTCTTTAAATCTTTAAAAGACAGTGCGTAAAACTTTCGGTTAAATAGGATCAATCTTCTGCTGTGTGTTGAATGATTTCGTCAAACTTATCTTCAATCTTCATTGCTATTATATACTTCTTCTTTTAGTAAACTAAATCAAAAGTCTAAACTATTTCTCTTTATCTATCCTGATTTATGGCACTCTGCGCTACGCTGCTGATTATTGTTCATAAACTAATTGTCAGATTGCTACTTAAATTTTAGAATGCTGGCTATGACAAGCTTTAGATGCTAATGAAGCATTAAGAAGAAGTATCAATTAGCCGCTCTAAAATTTCCGCATGTAGACGGAGAGCGAGCTAATGACATACTCTCTCTCCCGCCGTGATGCTTTATTTTACAAACACAAAGTTTCTTGTTGCTACTTCTTCGATCTTTTCCTAATTCTTGATAATTGTTTGGGATTTGTAAAGATGCCCAGAACTAGACTACCTAGCAAAAATGCTGCAAAACTTGGCACACATTTTCAAGATATGAGCCTGCGTCATCGGAAAAATCCTTCAAAAGCGCCCATTCCTAATCAAGTAGGTTCAAATTTCCGCGCTAAAATTTTGGAAATTCTGTGTGAATGAAGTACAATATTATGGTGTGATGAGTGTTTGCATCTTGTACAAACATTTTAATGTGTGTGGAATGTGGCAGGGTTTGAAATTGGGTGAGAAGCTTTAGTTCTGTTTTATATTCCGAAACTCTGGTTTATTGACAATATGTTTTATCCTCAACAGTTGCAACTTGCAACTCAATAAAATTGTTCTAACGATTATAAGTGTGTTCTTGCTGCTCTAAAAACTAGAAACTTTAGTTAGTTTATAATCAGTATAAAACCATCCAGGTATCTGTTGACAGTTTAAACGATAAATTAGCAGAAAAAGAGGAAGAAGTTGTAGTGGCTGTAAGTTATATTTTCATCATACTCTGTTGTAAGAGTTAAGTCACAGAATTAATTCTGTCTGACCGCGTTTGACTTTAATCAAGCTTTCATCAACTGTCCGTCTGGAAATCCTGTAGTTAAGCTAATAAAGTAATAAGCTGTCCGCTTAAACTTGTTTTCTAAATTTGTTGAACGTTTTCAGGCCGCCTCAAACAATGCTGAAGCGGAGCGTCTTGCACAAGAAGCAGAATTCTTTAAGGAGAGATTGAGGGAAGCGGAGGAACTATTGAATAGATATAAGACAGACAACATGATGCTTCATCAGCGAGTCGAGATGGCTGAAAGAGATAGGGGCGCCTCGGAGCATGGCAACTACGTAGAACTTGAGAAGGTGGGTGTTTAGCATCTTAAGTTTAACTGCTTCAGTGCTCCCAACTCCCCCCCCCCCCATCTCTCACCTGATTTAACTTTCTATTAAATTTAACAATCCTGGATTGTATTGCTATCTTCACTAAGGTAAAAGTGTTAACGTACTTGTAAAACCCCTAGTAAAATTGTAATTCTCTGTTATGTTCGATCTTTGTGACGTCCATAATGGTAGTGAATGTATTGAAATATGTTTCATCCCCACTACCCTACAGGTGCGAGAAGAATACCAAGAAAAGTTAAACGAACTATCCCAATACCCGGAGAAGTTGAGTTCAGCAGAGGCTCGATACCAACACGCAGAGGCACAATCAGAGGCACTAAATTCTCAGCTAGCTGATAAAAACCAGACTGTTGAGGAGCTACAGAAAAAGATAGATTTGTTCCAGGGTCAGATTGGAAAACTAAAGACGAAAATACATGCTGTGAACGAGGATAATATCGAGTTATCAAACAAATCTCAGAGTCACGAGAGGTAAATAAATTTTTAGTAAGATACGAGATTCTTATCTGTAAGTGTTTTAAATAACAAGAAAAGTGGCTATCGGTCATTTACCGTGCTATGGAAAATATATGAAGCATTGAGCACATCGTAAATTATTAGATATGAACGCGCAGTATTGTTGTAACGGCGTCTTTCTTCTAGGAAAGTTCTGGAAGCTGATTTACACAACAAAAATCTAATGGATCTGGTATCTAAGAAGGACGATGCGGTCGAGGCACATCAGGTAGAGTATTCCAGAATAACTAGACCACGATAATCAGTATCCTGCCTGGTTAACCATTGTGAAATTTAGATGGTCGAACCGACTTTATTTCACTCGTGTGTTACGCGGTGTAGGCTTGTGTGTGGGTGTTTGCTGAGAATTCTGTTGTGTACTTGTGTATCCGCTGAAGTAAGCACCGTGTTTTTTGCACGTGCACTGGTGCGTGTGTTTCAGCTAGAGCAAGTAATGCGCTTCATTACAATGCACGTGCAAGGCTAATACTACGAATATATATGTGCGCGAGTGTGTTGATTTCAAGCATTCAATTTCAGCTATTCGTGTTGTGAGCAAGCTTGTGAGATTATCATCACTCATTTTTCAACCATTTCACTATCAGTACCATTATCATTACATTAAAAATAAACAAATCTTTTGTCAAATAAAAATGAGCCTTAAATCATACACAAATTAACATTTTGATTGAATGAATTAGCACATGATGATTTATACCTTTCGTCTGTAGCTAAGGATCGAGGAGCTTATGAGAGAAAATGCTGAGCTGTCTTTAGGGCTTGAGACAGCTCTAGGTGACTGCAGACGACAAATAGAAACAACCAAGGAGAAGACCCTGCTGAAGGTAGTACCTGCATTTCAAATGTCACGTGATAGTCCAAATCTGGTCTCTTTTGCCCTCTCTACCTTTCCATGCCTACCTTTCCATGCCTACCTTTCCACGTCTACCTTTCCATGCCTACTATATCATTCCCTAGCCTGTCTAATTAACTCTTGCAAGAAGACTAGGATAACTTTTCATTACATTGATCATTCCATTTCATAAACCCTCTCAACTGTGTGTGAGCGCAGTGCTGTGACGTCACGTCACGTGGCACTCCTAATATGGTCATCACGTGTCGTGACGTCGTGAGGGTGGTGCGAGGTACGATAATTAAACTGTCCAACATTTAGGAGCGCAGTTCAACAACTCGCATTGAGGAACTGGAGGCTCAACTCGGCCGAGCCTCAAACACTCAGACCCAATTAAAGAGACTGAAAGATGAGGTAACATTGGTAAAAGTGAGAGTGAGTGTGAGAAACTGAGAGCTGACCGACCCTACAAACCTGACAGACCCTATATAATATGAATATGTAACACTCTCCTCAGGCAAACACAAGGAAATATTTTGTATTAAAATTAACAGCTAACTCTCCCCCACAGCCTTCAGTGGATGAGCAGCTTGCAAACCTGCCCCCTCCTCCTGCCTCCCCCAGCACTGATAACAACATGTCAGAGCCAGAGAAGGGGATGGAGGAGAGTGGGAGTGAGACTGGAAGTGACTCGGAGAGTGAAAGTGAGGAGGAAATTGATTGGAGTGAGATGCTGAAGAGCGCTGAACAGAACAGAGAGCGTCTCGGGCTGGATGAAGTGAGTGACGGCGAGAGCACTGAGGATGAGAATGGAAACAGGGTTCCCAAGAAGAAGGAGCAGAACGGGCTCACCACCGAGGACTACATGCAAAGGATGGCCACCAACCAACTCATGGGGTATGATGAGTTCGGAAGACCGATGAATGGCAAGTATAACGGAGCTATGGGCGGAATGAGTGGAAGGAAGGGAATGAAGAATAGAGCTATGTTGTTTGGAATGGATGGAGGTAAACGGAACACTAAGTCTGGTTCTAATAACAAAGGAGCTGGCAGAAAGGACCGATCTGGGAGATCAGGGGGTCGAAGGGCCAAGAAAGGAGGCACCAGCATGGCCCTGCTAGGATTCTAATCAGATTTTATACCACATTGTTGATATGGTACCAAGTTCGCCAAATTTCCTGTCAAAAAATACTACATATATTCTACAATACATCTTCCTAAGAAGACCTATTTTAAAAAGTGCATGTTCAAGGCTGTAACACGTGCTGGGATCGCGTTGGAACTCACTCTGTATTATTCTCATGTTGCTGAAATTCCTGTCTCATACATGTGTTCCCTACATCATCCTACATCATCCTACTTGTACTGCTGAGAATACCTACAAAACCCCCCTCTACTGACAAGACCTTTTTTCATTGCCACAAGATACGGGGCACCCTAAAGATATTTGGATCCTCAATTTTTACTCCACTTCAGCTGGACAGTGATGACGAACAGTATGATGAACCAGCTTTTTTACGTTATAATAATTTATGTTGATTTGATTTTTGTAGTATTGTAACCATGGATATATTACACAGTAAAATTATATGAGTGTAGTAAAACTGTGACAAACTTATGAAATGGGTCTGACGGTCTGTTGTTGTGTGTTCCCGATGTCGAAATATTTTTCGAGATTGGCTTCCAGTATTTTATTTTCCCGTCATTAATGTTGGCAACCTGGCTTCAATTTGAATAATTCCGTGTGTACGAAATGGCAAGTTTACGAAATTGCTCTGTACACAACTAACAGCAACAATAGACCTATTCCTTCAGTGTTCTAAGTTTGTCGCAGTACGGGTGAAGTTGAAACGTTTTCAGATCGATCGTTTCAAATTTTCGATTCTTTTAAAAAGACAGAATATAATATATCGAATTATAACACAGTACAAAGTTTTATATCAATGATTTATAGATTTAATGACACGCCATAGGACATATTATATATAATATGATTAAAATATATTAAGTATTTAAGATTTACTTTAGATATTATACAATTAGTTCATGTTGACAGAGGATAAATAAAGGTTCATGGTTGAAGTACTTTGACACGGCCGTTTTCCCCCCCTTTTTATTCGCTGCTAATTATGTTTTTAATGTGCAACTAAAAATTTTGAAATGCGTTAGTCTGCGTTAATTGATTGAAAATTCAAATTTATAATTAATTTTATCCTCTAATTGATCTCTTTATTTATCCGAAAATCACCACCGCAACACATCATATCACTTCACCAATGCTCGTGTGGGTTTAACGGTTTTTCGTTTCTAGCACTATCAAGAAGCGTTGATAATTTGCAAATGTTTGAAGCACCTTTCAACTTGAGTTTAGTATTCCTTATGCTTGCTCTGCCCAACAAAACGTTCTGTATCGAAACGTGACCCCACGTGACTGTATAAATTTGGGCATAATCTATTCTATCGTCGCGAGTCATACTCCTACTAAATGTCCTCTTTATCAAAATCTCGGGAAGTTTACATTGTTCTTGAAAAATCAACCAAAGCACTGAGATTCCTCTCTTGATTCCTGATATAGACATAGCCCTGCCAACTCTTCTGTATAGTACCCTAGTACAGCAGAGCAATGATAAACACAGTCCCTTTTTTCAGAGTTTATTAGAAACGTTTCTGTTTCACTGATGATATCAAATAAATTAATTGATTGATAACGTGGCCTAAACACTGATATTGGGGCTTATTTTAGCTGCAGATTTTGTGTACATTTTGTAGCACAACATGGTTTGAGGCAATATTTTCCCACTGCTTGTCTGTCATCTGTATGCTAACATTAACAGTTACCCTACACTCTCCAGCAGAAATGCTCAATTGTTTGTTTAGGTGCGGAGCCACGGGGCAGCTACATCCACAGAGAGTACAGCTGGAGCGTATAGAGACGAGGTTCAGATAGAAAGGGACAAGAACGGCCCCTCCATCTTGTCTGGGTACCCCACTAACTTTCCACCCCATTGTCCCGCTAATTTCCCTCTCAATCCTTCACATTCAGCCGAATTTACCAATATCTCCAACGAAGTCCTTGACAAGGACAAGTCCCTGACGTCGCGAGCCAGACACGCAGTACACACTAGAACTAGTCCGAGTCACCAGGGTAACCAGTACCACTCGTCAAGTCCCCTGGCAGGTCCCTATGATTCGTGTGACCCTCGTCTCCTGGATTCTTACATCCTCTCCAGGCTTCATTTCGAGGAGTTCCTCCGTAGTCAAACCGACCTGTTTCACCAGATGTTGGTAGAACGAGAAAAGGCGCTCAGTGTAAAGTCAGATTCGGTGGCTGCTACTCCCAGAGAGAGGCTTGCAGAGAGAGCGGGGTCCTCTCAGTCAGAGATTTTACCTCACTATTCAACACCCTGGAAAGTGGGATCTGCCAGGTCCGATCATAGCTTGTTGAACCCTCCCAAACTGGGAAATATCAGTGACAATGGTGAGTTCGAGAGGGCTGGATCAACCTATCGGGATCCCTGCCGCCAGAAAACTCACTCCTCTGAACTTCCCACTCGTACTCATAGATACTTCGACAAGTCTAATAGCAATATTGTTAGAACTTCCTCCTTAACTGAACTAGAGCATTTAGTAGATAACTGCATCATGCCCGAGGAGGTTTTAACCAGAGAACCCACCCCACCTCCTCCTTTTATAAGGGTTACAAGACAGTACCCAGGGGAACACCAATCTGGGGTATACCCTGTCGTACCCCGAGGTAGGGCTGTCTCCCCTGATGACGACAGTGATGATAAGCATCAGATGATGTTGGGTGGAGTTCTCAGCATGCCTCATGCCACTAAATATGTTGACGAACGAACAACTCGGAAATTGAACGGGCATCATTTACAAAACGGGCACGATTCACCTGAATCCCATCAGGATGAGAAAACCAAATCGAAATCGTATTTGTTTCCGTGGACAAAGGGATCAAAGAATAAGAATAAGAGTAAGGGTAAGAAAAATGGTGAGCCAGTTGCTGCGACATAGCGCACAATGTAGCTATAGTTTTAAACTCTCGGAAGAATTGTAATAATGTGTTTTGTTAAGTTGTATACTTTTGGAATAGGTTGCATGAATTTTCTTAACATATGACGCGGATTGTTTTTTCTTAACAGACTTATAACAAGCGAGTAATTTATTTTTGTTTGACTTTAATTGATTAATTTATTTTAGCTGTTTTAAAACATTTTATTTGCACCGATTCAAAACTATAGGTATGACTCGACATTTTATTATCATAGTAAAACTGAGTTATTGAATTTGTAAACAACTTTCCTATCACGTGACGCGTATCTGAACACTATAATTCTGAACTCATACATTGTGATTGTGACGGTAGATCGTTTATCATGCATGTAATTGTATCAGTAATTCTTAAATATCGTAGCTGTATGACGACCGTGTATCACTATCTGACTGTCGTGTTTTATTACCACGGCTAATCTAAAAGTAAAAGATAAAATTATAATACATATAATATAGTTAAGTCATAAGGAAATGATAAGGAAAACATAAGTCTTGGCGTTGCCGTTAACTAGACTGTAAACAAAATGAACGATGATTAATTGACGATGTCAATTCATGGCAGCTCGGCGCGGCACAGTACTAGTAGCGCACCGCGCTACAAGAACGATGACAGATGATCGCGATCTAGATAATCTAATTCTAAGTTATAAATTACTGGGCGGTGCTCAGCTTACCTAGCTTGCTAGTTTATTGCTTGCTCCTCTCAATGCATTGGAACTGGCGTGCCAGGTACAAGGTATGAGGTAACGCTCAGCCTGTTATTCCGCCGAATCTTTATTTATCAACATTATACTTATAGTGGGGTCCCCAGTTACCTGGCTCACCAATCCCTGTGCGCGGCGCTCTTTTCGAGCTTCCTGAACAATGAGAGGAGCGAACAATAGATTTATAGACTAGTAAGCTAAGCATGGTCCCCAGGAAAAGTTATAAGCTGAACTCTTTTTAAAGTAAACATTCGCGGTATATTTAGGCTTGCATTATAAATATAATTTTGTCTCAAATTTTGCAGAAACTATCGTCTGGTTGGGCTACAAAAGCAGTATCACATTTAAATACAATACCACGTTACTCTGAATTGCCTGAAAAAAACTGGAGACGAATAAATCATAGCCACATTATACGTAAGATTGACTGATATATTTGAGTATACAGTATAGGAGACGCTGGTTAAACCTAAAACGAACATGATTGTACATTGTATTTTGAGGGTATAAGTAATTGCTCACTCAGCTCAGGCTAGGCCTAGTCTAGCTCGATTTTACATCGTCATCGCTAGATGCGCCATCACACTCATCACAGTCACAGTAAAAAATTCACAACTACGCGCGCATTGATACATGTTTCGTATCCAAATATCAGAGATAATTTGTGAGATAAAAAGTGGCATGCAGCGTATGTCAACGCGCGCAGAAACCTAAAATGTAAAAATGAGCAAACAGTGTACACTGTACTTAGTTGTACATTATTAGATTTCTTCTCTATATGCATAGCTTAGAAACTACAGTACACAGTGGTTTAATAAAAGTAAAAGAAGTAAGTTTATAACCTAAAAGTAAAACTATGAATTAGATTTCTAATTTTCTATGGTGGTCTTAATATCTAAACATCTCAGCATAACTATTTTATTTCTAATTGCATCCAGTATCATATGCATATTATGTTTGACTGATTGTGTTTTCAGGTCAAAATATGATCTGATCAGATTGAGAAAGGATTTTGTTTTAAAATAGACCCCGGCCTTAACAAAACATTTCGTTCGTAAAAATACAGACCTGATGGCGATGCTAAAGAGCTGCACTTAACAGTCATTTCTGCTCCTGTTTTGTCTTTGATTATGGAACCCAGGCCCAGTATCTGTATCCACACCAGTCTACGTATGTTGTAGGTTTATAACCTACCAGGACGCGCGCCGAGTTGAAACAAATATTTTACGAGTATCACCCGTTATTTTAAAAAATAATAATACGTATGCGGTTACCTGTCTCGCCAATTTCTGTACTGTACGCGGCGCTCTTTTGAAGCTTCCTGAACCTCTATACCTGAGAGGAGCGAGCAATAGACTAGCAAGCTAGGTAACGTAGAAACTAGAAGGTAAACCACTGCATTCGCCTGAAAGTACAATGGTTGCACATTCAGCAATAATAATATACTTGCGCGCCACCCGACTACCATGAGCCACCCGACTACCCGACTACCCGACTACCACCCGACTACCATGAGCCTTAGGCTCATGGTAGTCGGGTGGCGCGCACGAGCGATAAGAAGCATTCACTATTTCAATTTGGCTACTAATAAAGATTCTCGAATTTGCAATTCAATTTACATTCAGGCAATGTGCGAAAAATTTAAAACTCTCACCTTCAGAAAACAGATCGCCGCACTTATTCCTGGCTGCGACAGCTGCGTTACAGTTTACGAGGAACCAAGTTATTATGCTTTCGAATCTAATGTATATCCAGCGACCCAACGCACAACGATAATTGATATCCTCTAAAATTAACCGCTACTATATATAGTACTTGCTCTCCGCTATCCCCCGAAGAATCTTCTAGTTCTTGATTAATAGAACTTCGTTCGACATCTCTAAACTGACTAAACATATGCCTCAAAATATTAAATGAATTTGAAGTGCAAGTGCGCCATGAAGTTTGAAGAATACGCCATGAAGTTTGATAATACTGTAAGAATGATACTCATACAAGCAACAACATCTATAGTTATACTTTACGTGAGTCGTGAACATGTGAACTTTAAAAAAGAAAATAAAGGATAAAACTAATGTAGCAAGCTAGGTCAAGTAAAGTTGAGTTATTCTCTCTCGAACAACCTCGTTTCTGATGTCGACTTACGTAATAAAGAAAACGAGGTTAGTAGTGCCAGTGGAACAATGAGTCTAGAACAATGAGACTAGATCTTTCAATCTCACAATGTGCATAACTGACAATTATTATTGCTAATGTTTTAAATTCGGGAATCTATCAATATTAATATATCAATTGGAGCACATACAAGAGGCGCTGAGCTACTTGTCTGTTTAGGGGGGGGGGGGGGGGGCATTTTTTGCTGAGCAAATTTTGTCATACGTTGTATGACCCGCCGCGCACGAAGTGCGCGACTCCCCCTGTATCGTGAAACGACCGTCGGTGTCACAACGT